CTGGAAAAAACTTTCACGGGTCCGTGCATGCTTACCATGCAAGCCCGAGAGTTGGGTTTGAGCTGAATGAAACTAAAGTGGACAGGGAATATCCTCTTAAAATTACAGCCCTTTAGCTTTTCAGTATCAACTTACCCGAAAGAAATTTTGGCGGGCCTGTATATGGGTACCACGCTTACCCAGGGGCTGGGTTTGAGCTCACTAATACCCACTTGGACGGGGAACATTCTTTTTCAGATTTCTAGCTTCTCAGATCCTCGAGTTATGAACTTATCTGGAAAAAATGCATGTAGATTAAGTTCCCAAAGTTTCAGCCCTATAACTTTTGTAGGTCTCGAGATGAAAAACCGTGACAGACGCATACACAGACACAGACACACACAGACAATCCCTCGTCAATATGCACTGCTTAGCTGCAAAAAACGCATAAAAATTAGACCACAGCATCACTGCTTGTGGTTACAGAAAAAGACAACATAGCCGGAGGACTGTGTACCGCTGGGCATGAACCACCACAGGAAATAGTATGCACTATGCCGTGCATCCTCTGATTCAAATTCAGCCTCCAGGTGTGCGTGTTTCCCGCATATGGTCCCGTGAAAGTTTCTGATATATTTCCGTGTACTTCTCAAATTTTTATCCTGAGAGTCACTCAACTTAGCCAGTGTGAAATGATTAAGATAAAATTGAAATCTGAAAATACAGCAAATTCATTCTAAATCACAAAAAACATTAAAATTGCTCGAACAATCCATATTCAGGGCCAATTTTAATGCTTTTAACGGAGAGATGTGTCAAAACGTTCAAAACAACCAAAGCCCAAATCCTTCTATCCTGAGATATGGCAGTAATTCCCAAATAATTAAATCCCAAATTAACAAATAGTTTAAAAAATCCCAATTTTTTTCTTTTTTTGAAATCTGAAAAGCAGAAAACATGGATAAAAATCCCCTACTTCTTTCAATTCGGAAAGCTCCGCACGTACTTCTCCAGGAAGAGCATCCCAAACAGTAGCATTTGTAGCGGAATTCGATTCACTCCAAGTAGAAACAGCGCTCTGTCCTGCAAATCAAACATACAAAATATTCAAAAAAAAAAGAAAATCAAACATTTTTTCAGAGCAAAGTCACCAACAGGGGTTCAGATCGATGCAGATATGCGGTGTTTTTCAATTGCTGCGAAGTTTTGGTGCTCCAAAACAATAACAGTTCTCTCTCGCTTATCAGAATTCGTTTTTTTTAGACCAAATGAAGCTACTGACGGTTCTGCAGAGATTTTTTGTAAAAGGGGATAAACTATGAAAATAACTTAATGGACCGAAACATTCCTGTTCATCTGATTATCACTGATTTCTAATATTTCTATTTTTATCATATTTTTACATTTCATAAATATCTGTACCAGTATCTTCATTTCATCTGCCGAAGTAGTTAAGAAAACGAATTTGAACTACACTAGGAAAACACACAAAAACTTTTGCAAAATCGAAAAAGCCCCCACTGTTGATGACCAATACTTTTGTGTGATTTTAGGAAGCATATTATTGTATATTCTCAGAATTTTTCATTAAAAACACACAATTAATCAAAAAAATTTCAAGTAAATTCACTGCTTTATGGATAGCTAACCAGGATAAGATTCGTAGAGAGCAATCCGATTCAGTAAGCGTTCCAAACGTTCATCCTTTTCCTTTATCAGTTGCTCCATTTGGGTAGTTTCTGCTCGATACTGAACTTCAGCTTGGACCTACAACGAAGATATACTGTAAAAAACCGTGTAATATCACAATCATAATCACTTGTAATCATAATAATAATCATAATCACTTGTAATCACAATAATAATAATCATAATAAAAAATAATCATAATCACTTGTCTAACATTAACCAGCAGAAAAAATAACAAGACATTCTGCAAAGCCAGTAAGTTTCTTTTTTGCTATAAATATAAATATTTCATACTTTTTATGTAACATTCCTCCATTTCATACAATTAGTCAGTTCCGCATACCTTTTCCATATCCCTCTTTATCTTTTTCTCTTATCTTTTACATTTTCTTATTTTAGCCCCATTTCCCAACAAGCAACTTTTTCATGGAGTCCCCTCTGGCGCCATTTCCCATTTTACCGGGAAATCCCAAATTCTTTAGCTTCCGGAGGTGGTACCAGTCCTTCTTACTCAAGCGCCCCTTTCTATCATTCGAGGCTTAGCCTCGTCTGCTTATCGGTCTTGGTCTCGTCATCGACCTACGTCTCCAGTCCTGCGACTGCAGCTTCATTCTAAGCCTAGCCGAGGTACACGCAATACTTCCCCTAGCCGACCACGTAGCCTTCTCTCTTCTGATCCCATGGCTGATCCTCCTAAATCGTCGTATGTAAATGACTCATAAAGTCAATCATTTTATCCAACCGTCGTACTCATAACATATACACAACTCGGTCCACCGCACTTTTACTGTGCTAACGATGCTACTGGGATACTCGTGCACGCCGAGTGCCGTTATGACTTGGACCGCTTAAACCCAGGTCATAACGCAGTTATTTTGGATAATAGCAAGGGCTTTTCGTCCAAAGATCTGAAGTACCAGACCTCATACTGCACTAAATTATACAGAATCCTGTACTGCGTAAGTAAGATATTGTGCATTTTTCCTTTTTCCTTCTACTATTTCTTCTAATTACATCTTTTTATCTCAACTAATTTATACATCTTAGTAAATTATTTTGTTACCACAATCGTCGTACTGACGAGGTCCAATTGTGGTAACGGTAAGAAAGGTATACGACTTAATGGACCGAAACATTTCTTACCAATAACAAACATTTCTTTAGACCCCTTACCTACTTTAATATCCTTTTCTTCCTTTTCATTGTTTTTTTCTTCTGATATTTTCCTTTTAACCTTTAATTGTAAAAACAGACAGCAAAAACACCTGGAAATTGCGGAAATCATTCTGGATCTGTTCCAACTCCGTTTTCAGCTGTGTAATTTCGAGCTTAAACTTTGCATTTTCTTCCTTTAAATCTTCCTGCAAAAAGGGCATCGTGTATTTCTACTCTAATATTCGTAACATTTATAACAGCAGTACATATAACTTAAATGCAGATTGGACTCATAGCATACTAATATAAGTCATTTTACCAGGACGATGAAATCGTACACAGTCTGACTCCCTCACTGACCGCGTTTCAACTATGTTACCACAATCGTCGTACTGACAAGGCCCAATTATGGTAACTGTAAGAAATGTATACGACTTAATGAACCGAAACATTTCTTATTCAATTTTCTAAAAAATTTTTTATAAAAATAATTTTTAAGAAATTTGAAAATTATAATTCTTTTCCATTTTCTCTTTTTCCTTTTTTCCTTTTTTTCTTTTTTTTTTCTTTTTCTTTCTTTTTTTACATTACTTTCTCTTTAATTACTATTAACTTTCAAAAAAACATATTAATTATGATGTATATGAAATATAAAAATATGCTAAAAATTAAATGAACAGGAATGTTTCGGTCCATTAAGTCATAGACATTTTCCTATTCAGCAACACAACTGGATCTCGTCAGTATGACGGTTGTAACACTGATAAAACGATATAAATGTCAGGAAATGGTGCTGTGGATTTTCACACCACCACTTGCATTTCTAAATGTTCCATTTAGTTTACAAAATAAGACATGGGCGAAATAAACCGAAACTCTTATCAATGCTTCAAAAAGTCCGATTGAGGATGTTATCATGATTTTATGGAAAGTGATCGTGGGGTTTTCAAGAGAAATCCCATCGACTCTAATGTTTGCCAAAAATTCAAATCCAACTTGTCTGTTATAAAAACAAATACCGCGTATTGCACGAGGAACATTAATTGATTAAAGGATAAAGAGAAAATGATGAAGTAGAAAAGATGAAGAACGGAAGAAAAACAAAGAAAAAAAACGAAGAAGGAGAAAGGAAAGTATGGAAATATTTGTAATAGGTAAGATAACAAGCACATAAGTTCATTAACGCGGCTTGTTACTTAATCATAACTGGTTAATAAATTTTGGATTCAACTTATGCTGTATGTTTTTGCAGCAAACAACTCCCCTTTTGAGTTATCTTCACAGTGTTAGAGGGAGAACTTATTAGCTCTGGAAGAATACTTCGAGTAGCTGGATCAGCTACAGCTTAAAGTCTGATTTTTGAACGATTTTTTTGCGACATTCCGATTTTTCTACAAAAAATAGCACGATGACAAGCATCCTTCCTCTTATGTAGGCCGTTTGGCTCCGCCAGTAGGACAACCAATCTCTCCATGATTTTTACGCTCTTTTCGATGGTTAACTGACATTAGTGCATGTTTGGGAAACAAACCTAACATCAGCTTGCTTCTAAGCAACCTTCAAAAAACAAAGCAATCAACAGCCTTAAAAACGGGCGTTTGCTGTTAGCACTTGCCACTATTCGGGTCTCGAGTGCGTTCGTAAAACATGAATGCGAGGGCGGGGGAGGGAGGGGGTGGGGTTCGACGTTATATTTTAAGATGATTAGACTTAAGTTCAAAGTCTGATTGCTCAAATGACAATGTTTTCGGAAAAAAACACAGCAAAAGTATCAAAAAATATTCTTTTTTTTTACCACATTCGCAAAGTCTTACTCATGTACCCTTCGAATTCTTTGAAAAAAACTGAAAAACTGGAAAAAAAAACTGAGAAAACTGAAAAAAAAAAGAAAACAAGATGACGATAAACACAGCCAACTGCTCAGCCTACAAGGTTAAAATAAGTTCAACAGTTAAAGAGGCAGACAAAATTCATAGACTGCGGGATTTCGGACAAGCAATGTGGAAAAGGCTTACAATTTGTGATCGTTTTTCGTCCAGAAGTTCACGAATATTTTTCAATTCCACCTCACGCTTTTCCACTAAGAATGCCAACTCATCGTTTTTCTGCCTGACAACCTCAATCTGATTCTGAAAAAAAAAGCCATTCAATAACATTATAACAGGAAAACTTAATTAAAACAATGCCATTTCGTCCTGATTTATCTGTAATAATTAACTTCAAATGGTGGATTGAGGGCTGCACTGATGATTCCCACCCCAATCCACACCGAATATTGTCTGTATTTGCAGCTTAGGGATGAAACACAGACAGCCAAGTTTACATTTGGCTTTCCTACAGGTCCTCGTTACATCTCTTGAACACTTTTTTACAACATATGCTCTCCGCTATCTTTTTCACTTCTTGTTTTTTTGGTCTTTCCTTCTATTCCTAACTGTTTAACGTCTCCAAAAGCACAGAGCCGAATTTCATACTTTACGCGAGTAGATGTCAAATTCAGCATACGATTAGGAAGTAATTCCACACAAACTTATTCAAGCAATTTTAACGATAATAGCTGAAGTAATCCTATTACTGGACTGTTTCTTTGCGACTAGGTCTAAAATACCGTCAGCAATTTTCAACCATGAAATAGCTAAGACGAAAAACCTTCGAACTCGGACAAGAGAGCGTTTTTTAATGCAGTTAAATATTAGAGAATAACGCTACTTGCTTTTTTTCTTCACGCAGTTTTTAGCAAGAAAAATCCTGATTGTATTTCGACAGAACAGGAATTTACTTAAAATCACTCTGAATTAATACGCGAAATAATAATAAT